CAAGATTTCCTTGTGAATACATCTAACAATATGTATTTACAAATGAAAAGGAACAAAAGCTTCTTAAAACATGCTTTTTCTGAAATAAAAACATCTAGTCTTCCTAAATACGTAAGAATATCTGTTCAAAACAAATAATGACAGTGAAGTAATACTAGGGTAGTGAGAAAATAGTACTGTGAGGAAAGTATGAAGTTGTTCTGAAAAAAAAGTGGCATATATATAGGCTTAGGATTAAAATCTATAAATATTAATATAAATCTAAGAAATTATTCTCATAGTGTTCCTTTTTTGGCCATTATTTAATGTAGTTGTACAGCAGTCTTTCAGAAGTGAGGTAATTTGTAATTTCAAAAGTAATTTGAAATTAATGAGATCTAACCCTGTTATTAGTTGGCTGCTTTAGGTGGCAAATGAAAGACTTGCCTAGAAAAAAAAATTTGGAAAAGCAATATGAATTTTAAGTGGGGGTTCAATTGTCTTATTCAGAAGGAAAGTGGATTTGGTTTAATGTTTACATGAAGCAACTTTACTCTCCCATTCAGAGAAAGTGTGTCTAAATAAAGAATAGGTTATGTAAAAATCCAAGATGGGATTTTTACAGCTTGCTTAGAGCACACTGACTTCCTGCATGGGTATTCTGTCAATAATGTAATGTGCTTTTCTGCTTTCGAGCTTGACTTGGACTCAGATTGAGTCATGTATGTGGCAATAAATTACCCCAGGGTAAAAAAGCATGTGAAATCAGTTTTACCTATTCCAAGTAAATACTTGACATAAAAGACAAGAGACCCTACTCTGATGCATGAAATTCTTTTAATTAAAAGAAATCCCTCCAGTTAAAGGTTTAGTAAGCTGAATTAATGTTTCATTGCACACCAGTTGGCAGTGTATGTGGGGACAGAAAGTACTTTACCATGCATACATATTAAACCTATGAGTTAATTCTTGGCTTTCATTTTAGGTGAATCTACAGCTTCATCAAATTCCTATTCTCTTAAAAATATTGAAGATGTTAGAGAATTCTTGGGAAGGCACTGTGAGAGATTTGATAAATGCATAGGATCTTTCTATAGAACATTTAAAGAACATGAAAGGAAAAGCCTCCGCCACTACATAGTCAGTATCTTGCTTCTTGATGTTTAACTTCCTAAATATAATTCACTGCTTTGGGGGTATCTCTGCTTACTGAGCTTTTCTGTGTCAGAGTAGTCTAGAGTTGAGGAAGGTGGGAAGGGAGAAAGTAGAACTCTTGGTTGTGAATTACCACATCTTAATCATTAGGTAAAGCAATTTTTCTAGCTAAAAATCTTACTATGCTGCACACTTCTAAGGCAGGGAAGACTTCCTTTCTCTGCTTATTCATGCTTTGTTGCTTCAAGTCAGATTAACCTGAACCTGATTGCTTTTTTCTTTTCTCTCCCTGCCCAGGATTCTGTCAATGCACTTTATACCAAATGTCTCCAGCATCTTTTGAGAGATTCGCACTTGGTAAACACTTATTCCACTAAATACATAGTGTTACTTAAGCAATAAATTATCTAACTTTCTCTTGCTCTTTGTATGGCTTTCCTTTTCCAGAAGATGCTTGCAAAGCAAGAAGAGCAGATGAATCTGATTAAACAAGCAGTTGAAGTAAGCATCCAAAATGAAAGAAAATAATTAGCAAGCTATTTTTAATTCTCCCTTTCATGCCTAAAGTACTGTGTTTTTTTTTCTACAGATGTATATCCACCATGCTATTTATGATCTAGTCTTCAAATATGTGGGGACTATTGAGGCAAGTGAGGTAAGTTTGTTTGATTGGTAAAGATTAGTTACATTAATCTAATGCATTTTAAAAGAACCTGTGGCTTTCTATTGATTAGGATGCTGCTTTTAACAAAATCACGAGGAGCCTTCAAGATCTGCAGCAAAAAGACATTGGAGTGAAGCCTGAGTTCAGGTGAGAGAGAGATTATTGTGGACTCTTTGAGGAATCACTGAGATTGTCTTAAATAGGTCTCAGGCAAGCCAAAAAGTGTCTTCCTTCAGACAGTAGTAAGTTTTTCTTCTACTTCATTCCTTTGAGATGAAAAAAATAAAGCTTTGCAAGTGTTGTTTTAGGGCAGTCTTTGCAATGATCACTATTTCCTTTGCTTTTATATTCTTATGCTTCCCTTTCCATCTACAACATACAGAAATGCAAGTGTCCTTAAAGTAGAGATGGAAATATTTTAATACCATTCTTCATTTCGGCTCTGAATAAGTTAAACTTGGGTTTTAAGCATTCTGCACAGGAACTCTGTATGCTGATCGTTTCTTTCAAATTATTTTGTAGTTTTAATATACCACGTGCAAAGCGAGAACTGGGTCAGTTGAACAAATGTACTTCCCCTCAACAGAAGCTACTTTGTCTGCGAAAAGTGGTACAAGTTATTATGCAATCTCCTAGCCAAAGAGGTCAGTAATTTAGTGGATTAATAACTTAATTTTGAAGTTTTTCCTTAACCAATATGCACAAAGCACTTTGATATATAAACAGCTGGATTGAACACAATTAGGCTGGGGTCTGCCTTGCAGGTCTCTAAACAAAGCATAATGGAGGCAAGACAGACACTTCAGCATTGCTTCTCAGGGTTGAGGTGGGGTGCTTGGTTAGCTTTAGCTTACATATGTTTTTAGCTAGAGCATGTGAGAAGCATGTGCTAGAAGATTTTTCTCGTGAACAGGAATTCAAAGTGATCCATTTTAAACACTGAGGATTGCTGCTAGATCATTCTTGTCTGTTTGTCCATGCACCTTGATAATGCTGAAATCTATCCTTTTGAGATGCATTTTTTGCAAATTGCAGTGTTGGTGGGGGACAAACAAACCTTCTATATGTTCCATTCAAAGTGCTACCATGGATTATAGAAATGATTCTGTGATGGGAAAGCATGGACTTCTTAACCTGGTATTTATTTTATCTAGTCTGGAGAGAGAGAATACTTCCGCTAAGCAGATGGGGTAGTACAGTGAACTTATGCTTTGCCTACCTCATCTCTGTCTTTCTCCAGGAAGACTCCTGGCTTATGGAAAAGTGTATCAACTTTGAGGGTAGTTCTTTCCCTCAATAATTTCAGAAATCTTGAGCTACTGCTCTGGCTCTTTATAGAAAGGAGGGGGATACTAGTCAAATATTGCAGTTTGTACAGTATGAACTGTATTTGGTTTTTGACAGCCTATTTTAGAAGGGAGACTGAGAACATTTGAATGGCTGCTTTGGTTACTCAGTGCATTCTCTACTAGTAGATCTGGCCTTTAGTCTTGGGTGGTGAAACTCCATTTATAGGTATTGCTCTTGATTTGAACCATGACATGACTAACATCAGATAAAAATTATTTTTTCAGTTAACATGGAAACCATGTGTGCAGATGACCTTCTCTCTGTTTTGCTGTATTTACTTGTAAAAACAGAAATCCCAAACTGGTATGTAACTATATTTTGGCTACACAGAGCTCCATAATATCACCTTACATGTAAGGGAGAAATGTTTCTGAACATGTAGTAATAACTTACTTACACTATAAGAGGGGCTGATGTAATGCAGAAAACTAGTTTTAGTAGGACAAACAGCAAAGATGTATTACAGGTGTGATTGAATTAAGGACCTATCAGGAATTCAAGTGCTGTGTCTTTGCTGTTTTGATTCTCTGCCTAGAAAAATGTTGTAATGGGAAGCCATCTCTTTACCACATCTACATGTCAATACAGACTTCACAGATTGGTTGTTCCTCATCTGTGTTTGGAATTGTGAAACCTTTATGCAGCCTCTAGATGTTTGATCCATTTAGTTAGATATAGAGAAGCTAGATTTGAATACTTAATGGCTTTATCTCTCCCCACTATCAGTAAAAATATATCTAAACCTTCCGCTTGTGCCTGAACTGAATTTTAGTGTTGGTGTATCCCATAACTGAAAAGTATTTATCCTTTAATTTGTAGTTATCACATTGCACTGGTGCTTATGGTGCTTGAAACATTAATATGTTTGAAATGTGTGAATCTCTCCTGCTGCTGTTCTTATCCTGTCATATTCCTTATATCCAGTTAATAACTTTTTATTGAATAGTTAAGAAATAAGTAGAGTTATGATCTGTCTACAAACCAAACCATATTGCTAGCCAAACATTCTTTCTAGAAGCTTTTTCTTAATCCATGCCTGTTATCTGCCTGGATTGCCTAAAATGAGTTGCAGTATTAAGGTATGTCGTGCTAGTGTCTTATTTTTAGAGTTTCATGTCTTTAAATTTTTATTTCAGGCTGGCCAACTTGAGTTACATCAAGAACTTCAGGCTTTGTACTTCAGTAAAGGATGAATTGGGATACTGTCTAACCTCCATTGAGGCTGCAATAGAATACATACGACAAGGCAATCTCTCTGACAGATCAACAGTAAGCTGCTCTTAAAGTCTGTCAAATGTGCATTTGATAGCCTTGTAGGACTGTGTACCACTGTGGGAGTAAATTCAGTCAGAGAATACAAACAGTTAACATGAATTCCTTTTTTGCACTTAATGAGTTGAGGTAACTACTGAAGCAAATGCTGGAATGATCTAAATGACTACATTGAAGTGCTAATCCCATAGCAATACTTGTTCATTGTGTATTCCTTGAGGAAGTAGTTAAATATCAAGTCTACCTCATATGATTAGAATAACAATGACAGCGCTATTTTTAACAGCGGAGTCTTCAGTAAGTTTAGTATCTCCTGTTTGTACTCTATGGTTGTGAAAGCAGTGCAGTACTTGAGAGTAGGCATAGCTTAAATGGATTTTTCTTTAATTTTAAACCTCAGCTATGCTAGCAGAATGGAGATTGCAGTGTAATTTAGAATTATTCAGTAAATCTTCATACTCTAAAAATTCAATGTGTTTGCAGTACAGATTACTATGTTGCACTGAGTTGATAGTGTAACTGGAGTGCGGGACTATAAGGTGGTGGTTGAAGGTCAAATTTGGCTCTCAGGGTCTCTAACCTAGTGGGGGCAGGAAGCTTGTGGATGCATGAGTTAGTTCCTACTGGGCAACCAGACCTTCTGTCAGTTAAGTCAAATCTCTGCAGGCCAATCAAAAATGATATTGATGTGACTTTAGAAAATGAATAACTTTGTAGCTTATTTTGTAAAAGAATCCAGTCTTACTGTTCCTGTAAAACTTTCTACTGTTGCAAAATAAGGTTTTCCTGATCTGATGTGGAAATGAAAAGGAGTAAACTTGGAACTGGACTGAACTCAATGTGTCTCAGTCTGCCCAGCTGCAAAGCACTGGAATCTAATTGCAGGGGCCAGAATAATGGCTCAGTGTGCAGGGCTTGGGATGGGACAACCTGGGGCACAATCTTAAAGAAGCAGCTCTTAAAGTAACATTTTAGCCTTTTGTTATTTTTGATTTTGTTCTTTTCTGGGATCTTTCCATGAACTTGTAATGCATAGGTTTGTTTTGTACACTCTGGACGGGGGGGGGAAAAAGGCACTTTCTCATTTTGTATAAAGAGACTGTGGTATTTCTTGTCTGTAATGTTGTAATGAACTGTTTAAAAAAAATAAATAAAAATGTTAGATTAAAAGAAAAACAACCAGCCAGACAATTTTGCTTCCTGCAGTCACTTGTATATTGATTGTTAATGATAGCCAAGTGCCAATGTTGGTGGTTTGGATGGAGAACTGGAACCAAAGTAGAATTGTCTTCCACAACAATGCCAGCAAGCTGGAAAAAAAAATACTGCTCTTAAATTTCTAGAATAAAGACTCTTTCCTATTAAATGCCTGGACCTATCCCTCCTTATATAGCTCAAGATAGCAGTTTTTTGACACTGGGCTTGCCCTCGAGTGATTATAACTTAAGTGCCACTGACATTATGATACTACATTTATTTCTTTGGGAGGCTTCTGTCTTGAAAGATGAACTACATATTTGAGAAGTCTGAGGGCAGTCTCATACTACTTACGTTAGTGTTTGCACCAATATAAGAGCAAGCAATATGTATTTCTGTCCATACCTCAGCTGGATCAGCTCCAGACCTAGAGTGCTAGCCTCCAGCTTTCTCTCTTCAGTGTGCATACAGTGAGTATGCAACAGGAACTTCTTTCTTCCACACTGCCTTCATAGGTGTCAACAGGGCTTAAAGGCAGCACCCTGAGATGAGATGAAAAACAGCAGAACCTTGAAGACAAGGCAGTGGGTGATCCCCTGTCCTCTAGCACAGCTGAAAAGGAATGAGCTAGACTACCCTTTTCTCTAGTGTAGGTTAAGGGAGGCGATCCAAGAGAAACAAACTACGTAGCAAATAGCCTCTTGACAGGAATTGAAAAAGGGTAGTGAGGAAGTGGAGGAACATGGCAGGAACTTCCGATAGCATTGCTCTCACTTCATGAACTTATCAGTTGAGATACTTCCTTTATTCTCTGGTAAAGGAGATCAACTTTCTGTTTAAAGCAGCAGCAGATGTTGTGTTGGAGCCCCATGGTTTCATTTTCCAGATTGTGCTGGAAGTGGTTGTGGGATTTAAATGAGCAGGAACATTGCTGTGCCTTGGGGCTTCATTACAGCCCCTCGTGGCTACACTTAATTTTATAGCTGGCTTCAGATGGAGCTTCTGGCAGCTGAGTAATGGTGTTGTCCAATCCCTAATGAAGCTAACTGCATAAAGAAAACTCAGCAGGGAACTAATGTACCTTGTGGGATAATGGGCATATTATCACCCTCATGTCAGTAGGAAAATTGCACTTAAGAGATACCTGCCAAATCCCTTCACCCAAGGTCATGCAAGTCTTAGAGAGACATTATGGTTGTGGGGAAGAGAGGAACATGTAACTGATAGCATGAAAAATCCCCTTTTATTTTCTGGGAGTTGTCAAACTTGTTTGATTAGAATTCCAGTTAATAATATTGGACCTTCACTATGTTCTTATCCACAGCTAATGTGTAGTAAGTCTCTCTAATTCAGAGGGTTGACGTAAGGTATAAAACAGGGAGTTAGAGCCAGCCACTAGAAAATATCATTTTTGTTCTTGTATGGAAAGAGCTTGAGGTGATAATGAAGTTGTCATGGAGAAAGAGCAGGTGGGAAAAGCCAGGAAATGAAGACTTAAACTGAGTCTAATAAAGTGTTTGTAGGGGAGGTGGCGTGGGGATAATTTCCCCAAGTCATCAGTTGTAATCTGTGAAAGTCACCTTGGATGGGTCATTATACATATCCTCATAGGTACAAATATTTAATTACTACAGGGAATGGTGTTAGATAAAAAGATTGTTAGTGTTTTGATGTGTATTTTCTAGACTATAGGTCTTAAATAAGAGTCTCACTCAAAGCAATTAATTTTTTTCCTGAATACCTGGAGTGCAAGTGAAGCTGGTACAAGTGAGTTTTGTTTTTGAAGGCCTAGACTTGCTTAATGCTTCAACTCGATTCTTCTGTCATTCTGTATTTCGTTTTCAAAGATACGTAGTTTCACCTGGGATGGACATTTTTTAAAATTTATATAAGAAATAAGAATACATCTACATAAGGATTGCTGTCTCAAGTGAGACTGAAATAATTATTCCACTTGGGTGACTCTCCTCTTGTGAAATACATTGTAGAAGGAACAGTACTAGAACTACAGTAGTTCTTGCTAGTGATTACTCAGATTCTCTACAGTGAAAGTATAAAGCTGTCTGTGAGCATTCATGTTAGAAATTCTGATTAGACTTCAGAAACTTGTATCAGCAGTAAAACTTTATAATTGTTTTCTAATTAATAGCATTTCTCATTAAATATTTCTTAGGGAAGTTATTCTTGATCACACTGAAGAATCTGTCCAAGGACACTAGTGTTATATGCCTTGTAATTCTAAAAAGAAATGCTTGAGTATCTTTAGCTAAAGTACTTAGGTTTGAAAAGTTTGGTGAATGTTTGTCATCTTCATGTGTCTAAACGCAGACAACTTACTATGAGGTACAGATGGAAACTTTTATCTCCAGATCTCAGAGTCGTGTTTTTAAAGACTTTATTTGCTATACAATGGAGGATTTTTTTAGACAGCTTTGAGAGGCATCTGTGTTGATTTTGAAACATGAGTGATCTGACCTCTAGAAAAATATGAAATCTGTTGTTCATGTTTAAGTGATCTTTATTTGCAGTTCACTAGTTTCTTCAACTTCATGCTGACTTACTAATATAAAGAGCTGAATTGGACTTTTCTTACTCATTTATATCTGGTCTTTACAGATTTAATTGCAGAAGCTATAGCCCAGATCCTAGACTATCAAAATTTATCTGATACAGGGGCATCTATCTTAAATGCAGTGGTCTTCAGTTTGATGGATGCTGGGAGTCCTTCTATTTCTAGGAAGATAGCCATTATCCAAAAACAACATCCAAAAATATGATACTCGCTGCCAACAATAAGCAGTAGTTGATCAGAATCAACTGTGTGCAGAGTTTCCATTTACTTTCTTAGAAAGTGTTTTCTTTAGATTGTTTTATTTTGTGTGAGGTTCAATGTTGCCATTTCAAAATCTGAAGAATTTTCACCTGATTTTGGAAGCATATATATATATATATATATATATATTTTCTTTCATACATCCTGACTGTATCTTTATATTGCTCAGAAAATGGGAAGTACTGATGTGAGAGTTGCACTACTTGTCTGCTTATCTCAATCTCTAATTTTCAAGAAGTGGCCACTAGGAAACACTGTATGAATGAGTCTGTTACAGAGTGATGCTTTACCTGGTACAATCTTTTATTTTCCGGCAAGTAGCAGAGAGTTCAGCAGAGTCTTTGAGTCAGAGTTGGATCTGGGTCATCTTTTTTAATACCACCAGTAGACATGTCTCACACGAATAAGAGAACATTTTTTTCTTCTCTCTCCTCTCCCCACTCTTCTCCAGACCTAATGTGTGATGATTTTGTTGGGCATCCCAGTTCTTATATTTTGAGGAATAGTGGATATTCATTCTTTGCATTTTTTATTTGGACTTTTTGTGACTTTAATAGACTACAATAGCACAGTCAAATCTTTTCCAGAGTAAAGAATCCTAATTTCTCCTTGTAAAAAAGCTGCATTGCACCTCTTACAATTCTTGTTGTCTTTTTAATGTCTTTTCTAATTCTGCTGTGTTCTTTTTTAGATGGTACAACTGTAGTTGTGTTAATGCTCAGTTATTTAATGGAGAATGACAGTAAAGGAATATTCTGGTGAACATCTGCTTATTATTTCTTTGAAGAGCAGGTGTCTCTTTAAGTCTCAGAATCCTAAATGTGAAACTGATTTAGGTTTTCCATGCATCTGATAATTCCTAAATGGTAAATACAGTGTTTATTATTTTTAAAAGTTAATTCCACTGTTAAGGTACTTTTGCCTATAAATGAGTATATAGATAATTGATCCATAGATTTTATTTTCAGGAATCTGAGAGACTGTGTGACAAGCTGCTTTTAAGACAAAGGATGAACTTCTTGACCCAGATGTCTGCTACACCAATAGACTGCTTGTTTAAGGTTAATAACTTTTGTGGCAGAATATATATGTACTTATGTATTGCAAATTTATATCCCTTCCTTTCTGCAATTTTCTGAAATGTAATGCAGTGTTAATTACATTAGTACTGCAAAATGTGTTTTAGTAGATGCTAAGAGTGTATTTTGAATCTAGTGCGTTTCTGTGCCAAAATGTTACCAAGTTAATATAATCTTATGGATTTCAGGACGTTATATGAAGTATGGGAGAAATTAGGATGAAATGCTACTGCTGTTGCTGTTGATTGGCCCATTTAATGCACAGATGTGATATTACTATCTGGTTGCCTCTCACAGCTTTTAGTGCTTGAAATTAAAAGAGTTTTCTGAAATAATTTAAACATGGTCACCTGACAGCTACTTTATATTATATGTTAATCTTATATAGTCATTCTAAAATAATTTTGCCTATACAAGGACACAAACCAGAGCTTCTAATTATATGTGTTCACAGCTTATGGCTATATAGAAATGTTTTTGCACAG